TATATATATAGCATGGAGGTCCGTAGGACGACTGTGGCATATAATAAATTTCAGTTTTACTCAATTATTGAAAAAAAAAAAGAAAAAAAAAAGAAACACAAATCGTATTTCCAATTAAATACTTGCTACAGTTTAAGTAATCCTTCTCTATCGTATGAATAACAATTTGAGTATTCAAGGAAGATCTTTTATAATGATTTTTGTTTTTAAAATTATTATAGGTTAGTTAGTTATATCATCTTCATACTCAAAAGAATTTATGGGAAGCGTGTCTACTGATGTCATTCATGTTCAGGTTATGTTTGGCAGCCATGTTGGTGAGACTCCCATGAGTTTGAAAGAGAGCAAGAGGAAGGGGAATAGCACCTAAGTCAGCCTGAACCAGTTTTCATTCTCACCTCTGCCTGCCATGGAATATTTCCTGCCTGCCATGACACCTGCAGGAACCCCCTGACCCGACAAGTCACAGAGCTTAGAAGTCCCAGAGATGAGATATTGGCACAAGCATTGTTATCGCTGTCTACACAGGCCCTTCGTTGGTGTTTGAGTAGACTTGTTTGACGATGACTTGGCTTCAGTTCCTTTTCTTGTCACCAATTACCTTCTTGGAATATAACCTTGAGCTCATCCTTATCATATCCTCCAAACTGAAGTATGGAAATTCTCTGACTTCTCAGTATTTCTGGATCTCTCCATAACTACACTATGAAATTATTTCCAACTCTGTTATTTTGACATATATGATAATATCTTTCAAAATAGCAGCATTTTAAATAACGTTGTTATGTGCATGGCTGACTGAATATGTACACATATGCCTATGATAAGTAAAACACAGTCGTGCAAGATCATTTTCTCAGTGCTTAGCAAGGCTCCAAAAGAAGGTAATATAAAAAGACAGGAAAATTCAGATTAATTTTTTTCAAATTTGTGTTTTAAACATGATTTATATAATTTGCACATTTATTGTTTCCATCATTTTTTTTTCATTATGTGTACCTGTCAAGTTTCCTTTCATGCACTCCCAGGACCTTCTATTTTCTTATTCTTTACTTTCCTTTCTTCTTTCTAACTATTTATTTTATTAAATCCCTCAGATAAATAATACCTTATTTTAGAGTTACATTTCAGATCCCATCTCACATCACAAATTTGAAATGTTATTGGAACTTTTATACATACTGAACTTGGTACCGTATTATGCACATTATTTCTTACTACACATTTGATAGGCTATTCTTGGCTCATAAATGCATGGTTCACCCTGATTTGGGGAAAAAAGGTATTTTTTGGAATACTAATAACATGCAACTTTCACCTTTTCCTCGTCTTCTTATAATATTCATGGGTCTTGGAATTAGCCCCATCAATAAATGACGGATTCGCCTTGGTTGAAGCTGCTTCACACTATCCTGGTAAAAACAAATATCGAAATGAGTTAAATTAAGATTTTCTAATCACTCTAAAGGAAAATAAATGAATTTTCTATGTTTTTTTAAAAAATATTTCACTGTTTCTTAGTTAAAAGTGAGCATATGATTTTAAAATATCTGAAGAGTATATAATGTATGTTATCTAAATCAAGTCCATGATTAAACTCACATGGTTAAGAGAATGTAAACATCTCATGGTAGGCAAAAGGAAATAAATTCAAAGTCAAAACCTCAGTGATAGGTCTATTTCAACAGACATTCACTTCAGATGTGGCATTATATTTTTCATAAAATTTTCAAGCATTTAAAAACACATTTTGATGTATTAAGTTTACTTTATTTACTACAGAATTTAGAATTTTACTAACAGCAAATATTGTTTAAGTTAGAGAAGGATGTATAAAAAGTGTATAAGTAAAATGTGTCCATAAAAACCAGAAGTATGTCATTTGTAGAAAAAGTCATGCAACTGTAATAATCTTATTAACCAAATTATCCAGCCTCAGAAAGACAAATAGCATAAATCTTCTCTTGTTCTAGACACTCATATGTTATGGAGATACATCAAATTGTTAGTATATATAGGAGAAAATAACTAGAAGTACCACTGTCTTGGAACAACAGGGATTAAGAGGAAGTAGAGGGAGTGGTTAACTCGGGGGGAAGGTAAGGAATGAGGGAGTATACTCAGCATGCAATGTTACTTCCTGATTACTTTTTAAATTGAAAGCTGAAAATTTTAGAAAACAACAGAAAGGTGTAAAAGAGCATCATTTTATATGAATTTTCAGAAATGCACATGAAATACATAGATAAATGTTCATTATTAAAAAATAAGAAACAATTTTTTTTCTCAGCTTTTAGTTCATTCTGCATGGATAAATTCTGATCTGTATTATTTCATGGTAGATTACAAGCATTTTTATATATTGTTCAATGTTTTGACATTTTTTTTAAAAAGACAGGTTGTAAGAGGCTTAATAATTTATCAATATAATATAATAATAATAATTTCATGTCTGCTTTATTCTGAAATGAATATCTAAATATTTCAGGTAAAATTTCACTAAGTACAAAACTTGTTTTTGATATGCCAACATAATGAAGGGAATATTGTTTGGGTTTTGCTTTGATAATATGTAGCGTAGAGACTGTACATACGATATTAAAGTTCTTGCTAAATCAAATAAGGAGAATAATCGAAAGCCTTGATTAGAACAAACCATAAGGAGATAGTTTAGTGTGTGTATGCATCAGGCCAGGTGCTCATAAGCACCTTCTCTTCTCTGTACCTTACAAGAATAAAAATTGGTAGGGGCGCCTTAATTTTTTCCTGCTACCTAGCCAAGAAAAAATTAATTTCATTTTCCCTTTAATCATGACATGCTATTTTATTTTCCCAACCATGGTATTTTTTAATATATTTGGAAGTACTCCCTTCCATTACACCACCGATACTCTGTGTGAACCACCAAAAAGGTGTTTCCTCAGAATTTGGTTATGTTATTAAAGTACATCTGTGAGGTCCACTCACTTCCTGTCACTTTGCAGACATGCGACCATTGAAAATGGTTAAGGTCACCAAAACAATGGAAACCTGATGTGCCTTTCGTCACAGGTTTGACAACCTGTAAAGCTTATTCAGCATCTAAGGAATGAAAACGGCTTAGGGAGATCTCAAGCACAGAGCAGCCTGTTTCCACAGCACAGGACTCTACAGTTACCTGAGAAATACGAAGTCAGGATCTAATCTACTCTAATGGCCACTCACATCGGCGGCAACTATTCTCATTATATTTTCTGTTTTTCTTAAGTAAAATAAAAGTTTGGAGCTATTGTTTGGTATGGAATAACAGGGAAATTTGTGTATCATTGTTTATATTTTCAGGTAGTTTTTAATAACAAAGTTCCATATTTTACTTAACATTTTTACAATTGAAGAGTAAAATAAGAAAAATATAGAAAATACGGGAGTCTTTGCCATGGGGGAGATGGGAATGAGGAGTGAGCTGGGGGGGAGGCGGGGGGGGGCGGGAGGGGGGAGAACAAGAGAATCCGTGGCTGATATGTAAACTTAAATTATAAAATAAAATTTAAAAAATAAATAAATAAAAGAAAAATACAGAAAATAAACAGCAAAAATTATAGGGGTTTCTGTAGATTCTAAGAGGGTTCAAAATTTCTAACTAGATGTATTTAAAATTAAATGTATAAGAAAACTGAATTTGGCATAAACTTACTTGTCTACTAATGAAAATAATAGTGATTAAAATTTAGCAGTTAAATTTTTACATACAGATGATTGAATGCTTCCATTGCCATCAATATTTCCCTCTGATTTCATCTGTAAGTCTGTTTCTGTTGAAAGAATTCAGTATTTATTTAATTTAAATAAATTATGAATAAAATCTTGAAAATAGTAAGCTTTTCAAACAAAAAATTGATTAAAACTTTATAATGAAAATTACTTTTTATTTTCACATTTACATTTAATCAAATTTAATCTTCAGATGCATATATATACCGAAGTAGAAAATACATGCAGTCAACAAGAACTTCAGTACATGATGTAGATCATAAAAGGTTCCATGTTCAAACATAAACATATGGTAAAGATGCATCCACATATTCATGTACCTAATGCAAATAAGCACATTTTTAGAAACAGCTGGAAAAAAAAAGGATTCAAATTCCTTTTTATATCTTATAACAGTAACTTTATAAGGATGAAATCCAAACCTGTTCTTCATTTAATTGGTATCAACTATTTACACTTTATCCCTTGGACATCCTGTAACTTAAATATAATATGATTAAATTTACTATTCTCACAAAAACTTTTCTTTTTTGATACAGTGAAGCATTTGAACTCTTCCCTGATTATAATTCTCTTTAAAATGTCAATTTTGTTAACTTTTCAGTCTTTTCCACTTTACAGGCAAAATTTCCTGTTATAGATAAAATCTGCTTATTACTGGAATGAAGGGAAGTTTTTATTTCATCTTTGTATAAACTGCCTTCTATCCAGAAAAAACAAAGAACAAACAAACAAAATAAAATAAACAAAACAAACAAACAAACAAACAAAAACTCTACTGAATTTGTACTGGTTCTAGCAGTTGATTAAAATGATGTTGTAAGTATTTTTGAATCCTAATGACAGAATTTATAAAGTTGGAGAATTTAGTAAAGGATGGAAGTTTAAAAATGCATGAGCAAAATAGAGAGAAGAAAGTGTTAAATGGGAAGTATATCAGCTAGAAAACATAGGGAAGAAGGGGAGCAATAGCAGATTAATGGTATCAAGTAAAATGGAAAAACAGCAACCATCTAACAATTGAGAACAGTATGATGTCTAGCTCAGTACACCACAGAGATATTCTCACATCAAATTTTATTCCCACGGTGGTCCCAATCAGGGAGTCTTCTTGGAATTTCAGAAAGATGAATAGGTAAAGAAATGTTTAACATATCCACTCTGGAAATTTATTCACAACAAAGATAAATAAACCATGGCAATACAGCAAAATAAATGAAAATAGAGATTACTCTGCTGAGCCAACTAATCCAGAATTAGACTAATATTTTTAAAAGCACATTTTTTTACTCTTCTGTTCATATGTAGGTCTAGAGTGAATTTGCCTAGGGAATACATAAACGTGTGTATCAGGGTATATATTTATATTTGTAGTAGGGGGTGGGTTTTATCTCTGTGTTTGTAAGGTATGAGTGTAGGAAGGGGACCATAAGAGGGGAAGAGTAGTCTGAGGTGGAAAGGAGGGCATGATAATAGAAAATATTATAGGTGTGACAATAAATCCATAAAAAGTAGTTATTTGTAAGGAAAACAAGACTAGCATGAGCAGGAGAGAGCCAGGGGTGGTGAGAAGACAATAAAAAGAATATAGAAGACTACATATGCATAGAACTTTCTTAATGACAAGAACTACTTTGTATAATATCTAAAATAGTATATTTAATATTATGAACCAATAACTTAAAAGTGTAAGATATAGCAAGCCATGTATATAACAAAGATTTATGTATAACTTTTAAAAGTATGTAAAATACATTTGAAAGAGGTTCATGTTATTTTTTGAAAATAAGAAAGATCTATCTAAATACAAGGTGGAGAATGAATAATAATGATAAGAATAAAATACACAGATATGGTTCCAAAATAGATAGATGTGTATAAAAATGAAGCAAACTGGAATTCATGGAATTTTCAAATAATATGGTAAAATTATCAATGGACAGTACAGAACAAGTAATCATACTCAGTGATTAGTATAATTCAATGACTGCATAGTACCGTTTTAATCTTCATTTATCATTTTCTATCCAAATTCTTACTTCTTGAAATTATCCAGATAAAAATAATTTACCATGTAGTTCTTATGAAGTGCTCATCTTGACAATAACAACCTAAAATGTTCCTGAAATTTCATGAGCTGTATAATACATAATCACTGAATAAATCTTAACCCATACTACACATTTGATATGCAATTTTTGGGCTAGTAAAATATATTGCTTTCCCTCATTTAAAAAAAAATGCATTCAGCCAGATAGTAGTGGCACACGCCTTTAATCCCAGCCTCAGGAGGCAGAGCCAAGCAGATCTTTGTGAGTTTGAGGCCAGCCTGGGCTACAGAGTAAGTTCCAGGAAAGGCGCAAAGCTACACAGAGAAACCTTGTCTCAAAAAACAAAGAAACAAAAAAAATGCATTCAATGACTTATTGATGACATATGAGTCTCACCTTCTCCTGAATTAAGATCTATGAATCTTGGACTTAGTCCCATTGATGAATGAGGAATATTCCTGGGTTGAAGATCCATAATGTTATCCTGGCAAAGTAAATATCAGTAGTGAATTCCATGAATATTTTTCAAGGACTTTATCATAACAGATTTCCTGTTTTAAAGAAAGTATTATTGAAACCAAAAGAAACATGTTTTCCAAACTTAGAAAAACACAGGCATACAAAATGTTACAAGACACAAATTTTAAAAAGTTATAGAATAACTAGATGATAAGTACATTATTGTTCATATCTTCATGTCCTTTTCAGTTAAAAATTTTCAAAGAAAGGAAGTGTACAGGATAAAAACTTAAAGACGAATCTGAGAGGAAGATTAGTTAGGAACTATTGTCTATTCTAAGAAAGTTCTAAGTTTCTAACCAGCTAAATATTTCTAAAATTAATTTTAATTATGACAAATCAATATAAAGGCATATACATAAGAAAACTTCATTGAGCCTATGATAAATTATTTCACAAAAGAAAATATCTAAGTAGCAACTCGTATTTAACATTGACTTACAGATAGTTGAGTATTTTTATTGTTCTCAAGATTGTTTTGACTTTTCACTGATTTCTTTTGTAATTCAGCCTCTGTTGATTGTTTATGCATTTGAAAAAAAACAGAAAACAAAATGAGCAATAGCACTGGAAAGAAGTCTTTATATCCAAAAATAAAGCTTAAAATTTATTTTTATGGAAAAGAATGTTTGTCTTTCTAACTTTAGCGCTCAGTTTAGCTTAACCTTCTACTGCACATATACAGATGTAGAAAATATAGTTAGCAAGTACATCAGTGACTTGGATCACAAAAGGTTCCATATTCAAAATATGAAGATATGTCAGATGTCATTCCACATTACCTCCCATTTAGAATATTGCTTACAAAAACTTACAAAGACATAAATTCAATTATGTGCTAATATCCCTAAATAAGACAGAATTCCATATAGAACTAAACTGGTAAATTAATGTAGGATTTCTCTGGGGGAAAGGTTACTGGAGTTTGGAAGTATGGTCAATTATCATATTACTTATGCTTTAGTCAGGTTGTGTTATAAATGTACATAATACTCATGTAAAAATAAGATCAAGTATTTGACTAAATGACTCCAAGGTTATGATTCCACTAAACATAATTACGTTCAAGAAGAAAGTTTAAAATTCTTAGAACTGAATGAAAATTAAGGCACATCATAAAAAAATCTGTAAGACACATGGGCTATTCTAAGAGGACATGCAAATATTCAAGGCATCTGAACTTAATAAATTAGTGATGTATCTAGAAGCCTAGGGAAAATGATACCAAGCAACACTCAAAAAGGAAAATGAAAAGACGTAATCAAAATACCTGGTCCATATCATTTCCTTTCTACCCTTTCTATTATTTTAATCTTTATTTCCCATCTCCTTTCCAAATCTTATATCTTGAAATTCTTCAGTTAAAAAATACTGTCTACTTAGTTGATTCGGTAGGCCATGTTCCACTGGTGTCCTTTATCCCTCTGGTACCCATGATCTTTCTTCCTCCTCTTCTACCAGGGTCCCTGGTCTCCGAGGGGAGGAACTTGATGGAGACCTCCTATTTAGCCTTTCTGCATAATGCCTGGCTGTGGATCTCTGTGCCCGCTCACATCTGTTTCTGGAGGAAGTCTCTCTGTTGACAACTGGACAAGTCACAGATGTATGGGCCTGGCATGGGTCTGCTGGGTCTGCAAAAGGTCCTCTGCCCATATGTAAAGGCTGTTAGCTTGGTGTTTCTGTGGGACTCCTAACAGTGGGAGCAGGTGTTTCTCTCTTTTGCCTGCTTGTGGGTCTTCTATCGTTTGCCTTCCTCAGCAGCTTCCATAGGAGGGCTTTTTGCCTTGTCCTACTCTATCTTGTTTTGTCTTGTTTTGCTGTTGTCTCTTGGAACCTGCTCTTTTCAGAAGAAGAAACTAAGGGGGGAGTGGGTCTGGGGGAGAAGGGAGGTGGGGGTTTGGTGATATTTTAATTGTGCTGAAATGTGATTTTATTTGTATGTTAATAAATAGAGTTTGCCTGAAGATCAGATGTTATTAGTGAGCCAGGAATAAAAGTCAAGTAGTGGTAGCCCACACCCTTAATCTGATCACCTGGCAGGCAGAGTCTCTGTGTGGTCAAGACACAGCCAAGTGTGGTGATCCTTGAATCTTTAATCCCAGTACCAACCATAGAGACTAGGAGGTCTGTATAGACCGGCAGTGACGAGGAAGTCATGTGGCTGGGCTTAGAGCCAATGAGAAGGCAAAACAGGAAAGCAATAAAACACAAGACACACAGGAAGAAGGTCTCTCAGGGAAAGGATGGCAGCGAATGGTAAGATAAGGTGGTCTTGGGCTTTTAACTCTGTATTTGGCTCTGTGCTTCTTATTTAATAAGACTGTTTAGAATTTCGTCTACATGGGGGAGAACTGGGAGGAGAAGAGGGATGGAAAATGTGGTCCAGTTGTATCGTATGAGAGAACACTCTTTCTTCAATAAAAAGAAGAATAGCACCTACTTTTATAATGCAGCTTTTATCAGACACCATTTAAAAATAGTATCAAAAATTTGTGAGATACATAACTTATTACAACATAATGAATTGTTATTTCTAAAGCACTTTTTATAGGCAAGGCTTTTAGCTAATGGTATGTTGCTCACCCTGATTTTAATCAATATTCTTTGAAATTGCTTAGTGATGATACATAACTCTTACCTTTCCTTCATTCATTTAGAAGATTCGTGGGCCTTTGAGTTAGTCCTAATGACAAATAAGGACTAGGCCTTGGTTGAAGTCCTGTAACAGAATTCTGGTAAAATCAAAATCAACGTTATTAAATGAGGAAATCTAATCACTTTGGGACAAAGTACATGAGTTCCATTTTTAAAGGTAAATATCCATGAAACTAAAATAGCATGTTTTAAAAACATATACAAAAATATAAATACACTAAATTACATGTTTCCAGACAAAGGCTATGTGTGCATTTCTGTGAATATTCTTTATTAAACATGTACATATAGTAAATAAGAACAGAATGTTGGAAATGTTTTTAATTTTAATTTTTAATTTAAATATACTCAGGTTTTTTTTTCCTTTTCTTTCCCTCAACCCTGCCCATATACCTTCCCATGTTCTCCCTCTTGAAAACAAGGCCTCTTTTTCTTTATTATGAACTGGTTGGAATTTTTTGCACATTTGCTTTATATAATAGGATGGAAATGTTAGATGAATTATAGAACTCTTCCCCAAGAAATATTTATTAAATTGCAAAAATTAATTAAAAGGGAATCAGAACATATTTTAGTAAGTCTAAATTAATCCAATATATAATAACACATTTTCTTCCCCTTACAGGAATGAAAAAAAATGCATTAAGCCTGATTATCTGAATCCCAGCCTCCTTTATATAATCTTGGTTTCTAAAGACTGGATTTAAAACAGGCATGGCTTTCTTTGCTCTTTACCCATGATGCTGTTGTTTCTTTTCCAAAGTAGCTTCGCTGACAATCCACAAAGATCTCCCTCAATATAAAGCCACACTCTTTCTCTGATTTCCACAATGAAGGAAAATTTCTCCAGAGCCACAAGGTCAGTGTTGTTTGTGTGTGTACTTGAATCCTGATTTTTGGTGACTTTGTTATTTTATTCAAGCATATCACAAAGCCTCGTCTGCTATACCCACTGTCTCGCTACCTGTCACTTCTCAGATATTCAATAACTAAAAAATAGCTGAAGTCAGGCTGGAGAGATGGCTCAGCGGTTAAGAGCACTGGCTGTTCTTCCAGAGGTCCTGAGTTCAATTCCCAGCAACCACATGGTGGCTTACAACCATCGATAATGAGATCTAGTGCCCTTTTCTGGCCTGCAGGGATATGTGCAGACAGAACACTGTATACATAATAAATAAATAAATCTTTAAAAAAAATAGCTGAAGTCAATGGAAGAAAGATATTCTAGATTCTGTCTCTGCTTAGATGATAAGAACTGGTGGAAAACTATTCATCAAGGGAATGAAAATGACGTTGGGGAGACCTCAGGCACAAACCATTCTCCTCCCACAGGATACGTAGTCTATCAATTTTCTGCAAGCACATTGTCAAAGACCTGCATTGTGTATGGGTATTAGAACAAGATCTAACATAAAGTGACCGGAACATAACAATAGAAGGATCAAGGCAATAATAATAGTGTTCCTATTTCCAGGGTTTACTAATAAAAAATACACAATTCTCTTAGATTTTACAATAGAAGAATAAGGGAGGAAACATATAGTACAGGAATAGTAATATTTCCAAAAGAAAATTCAAGTATGTGCTAATTCAAGGAAAATTCAAGTTTCAACTATTTAAATGTTTAAAAATCAAAATGTAAGCTTTGAAGTATTCTGTCTAAATGCATGTTTAGAGGAAGATTTAACTTAACCTGCATCAATTTAAATTTACAAAGCTGTTTACAAAGCAAATATTAAGGCAGAAATTCAAAATTAAGGTTTATGTACATATGATTGGATACTTTCATTGTCTTCAAGATATTCCTGAAATCCTGTTTTCATTTTCAAATCTGCCTCTATTGAAATAAGTAAATATTTATATAATTCAAGTAAACTAAAAGTGACATTTCTAATGTATGAATGAGTCTTTACAACAATACAAATATTAAGATTTAGTTATTACAAAAATTAAATTTTGTTTTATCATTTTTAAGTTAAAGTTTATTCTTACAAAGGATGTTTACTTATGTAAAAAATAGAAGGAAATTACCATGGGCAAACAAGAAAAACATGGGGAGATTCTCACAGGATAATTGGAACAATATATCCATATATGTGTATGAAACCAACATCATGAGGGACACTACTTTGTATGATGCTTAAGAAAATGCGAATGAATCATGATTTTGAGACGGATCATTTGGAAAATATCATCCATATAATGACATCTTTTATACACCATTTAGAAATATACCTATGATAAGTTCATGTTCACTTCTGAAACTGAGATAGATCTCCTAAATGTGACCATGAATATGAGTGGCACAAAGAAAAAAAGAAGTTATTTAAAAGATAAATATCTATAAATATAGTGTAACCTTGAACTCATGGACTGCAAAACAATTAGTGAAAAGTATAGAAAAAGACCAGTTGAAGGAGTGTAAATACAAATTGGGATTCCTTAGTGACTACATGCTGTCACTACACTTAGGAAACAGGTTGTGGTGGAACTCCATGAATTAAGGGTTTTTTGTTTTTTGTTTTTTTATTTACTTTGACATTTTCATTTGTATCTATGAATGTTGCTGGGATTCACTGAAATTTTTTTCAAGAACTGGTGATTCATTTTTGAAACAGAATCATCAAGAAATAATGCAATGAAGTTTAGTTCATTTGTATTTTTGGTTGTGAGCCTAGCCTTTAACGGCTGAGCCATCTCTCCAGCCCAGTTTAGTTCACTTGTAAAGAATGTAAATTTCATATGACAAACCCTAGGGAAGATGTAAAATTCACTCTAGTAGGTAAGTATTTAAAGTGACAAAACTACAATTAACCATAAACTTGAAAAGAAAACTGTCAAACAAAAACCAGTGGGGTACAAAAGAAATATTAAAGTATAAAACAAAGCAGAAATTCAAATTTAACATTACATACAGATGATTGAGTAATTTCATTGCCATCAAGATTTTTCAGATTTCCATCTTCAACTGTAAATCTGTTTCTGTTAAAATAAATATTTATTTATATAAGTCAAATAAAGTAGAAATAACATTTCTAAAGTAGGAATCTTGAATAGAGAAAAAAGTTTAAAAAGTAGGTTGAGATTGAATACATGAGAAAAAAATAAATGTTTTAAAAGTGGTTATTATGATAATTAAATGTTTATTTTCTCAGTTTAAGCTTCATCTAAGCTTATTTATCAATGGATATTTGCTGATATACAAAATATAGTTACAGAGAAATTCAGGATATGATTTATATTATAAAGGGTTCCATGTTCACATATAGACACATGTCAAATTCACCAACATATCTATGCACCCAACATAAATGAATGCACCTTTTAAAATGTGATTTTGTACCTTCCTAACAGTAACTTTCTCCAGAAGAAAAGCTGTCTTTACTTAGTTCAACTTCTGTGAACTGTTTACACTTC